CAATGCCATCAAATTCATATTTATAAAAGTTGGCCAAGCAATAGACTTGTAATTCTCTCCTTGAATTCTCATCACTGGAAATTTGAATGTTATACAGATGACATCAGTTTCGCCTTTATGATCATGACGTTTGCAAATAAATTTTGTCTGTGGATCTGTTTTCCGATGTATGGTTTCTGTCTCATTTTCAACACACGGCTTGCCAAATGAATCATTATCAGCATATAATATGTTGAGTAATCAGTAAGGAGATCAGTACTGAGCAGTTAAAAGCTACAGTAACCTATAGCTGTAGGTTAATAGAGGAAGAACCCAAAAGATTGAGACTTTTGTACTGAACTATCACTTAGTTTGCGTTTGGCTTAATGTGGTGAGTGCAATCAGCTATTATATTTTATAAACTATAGATTTTGGCTGAATACATTGTGCAAACTAGATGTATTCAACAAACCATGGCTACCAGTCAGTAAAAGATCCAGCATAGTGGCTTGCTGGGGGTGATTTGCTTTCTATACCTGAGAAGGATCCTATATGGGTGCTAAATGTTTTTCTTCAGATGATCACTTTTGCAGAAAAGATCCACTTTTGTTAGTGGATCAGACAAGGCTGCTACAGTCTGAGCAGTTAAAAGGCAGTATTTAGCCCAAAAATCTGAGGAGGATTTTATAGTTAGAATGTTATTTAACCCAACATCATTAGAGGAGATAGGTACAAATGCTGCTTTCAAAGTCCATTTAACCAGAAGCAATATTTTTTCTGGTTATTTTTCATTGCTATATAGGAACCCATCAGAGGAGAGGGGAGAATTTGGCATATCTAGTTGCAAGGGTAGCACCTCAAATCTAGTGTCAGCCTTATGAGGTAGACCGGACTGGAAGCACGCCCAGATGAACTAATTCTACTTTATTGTAAGGCTACATTAACAGAACCTTGCAAGTCTGAAAGTACATTTCTCCCCCCTCACCTTTACAGTCCAAGAAACTAGGGAGAGTCCCTTCTGAGACATTTACCACATCCCCATTCCTCTGTGGGCTCAGCTGCCGCTTATCTGACCATTGGTCTAGCTGTGGCTCTTCCCCTTGTCCCCCAAGGTCATTCTCACATACCATGACATCTATGCACAAAGTTTTCCTTCCCTCCCCCACGTCCCCCCAGCTCTGTATTTTAATTCTGCATCAGTCAAGACTCTCTATGCATCTAATAAAATGAGCCGCAACTCACAAACACTTATGCCTTAAAATAAAAATTGGTTTGTCTTAAAAAGCGTTCCCAGACTCTTCATGATTTTACCCATATAGAATGGAATTTTAAATAGTGCAGAGAAATGGCAATGAAAATCAGTAAATAACAGGGTCAGGTCTGCAATGGAATGTTCTAGCAGTTTGAAATCTTTTCCCACAATTTTCTGAATTGTAATAGTTGGGTCCATGCACTATTTTATGCAGAGACTGTTCTGCTTGTCCTTGTTTAGAAAACAATAAATGGCAACTTAAATATAGTATATCAGTAGGGAGCTTGAACTGATGAAATGAGTTGATGGAGAAGTTAAGGACAATATTTTACCCCTTTGCTTAAAATATTCCTAAAGTCTGGAATAACTGCATTTTGAGAATACAGTACTTAGGCAATGGCTAGTGGACGTGGAAGGCCCAAAGAACAGACCTCATTTGCAAATAGTTCTTTTGTAAAATTAAAACCAAGCCCATATCTCAATCGTGTAACAATTCTTAAATTTAGAAGGGCATTACGTTAACCTTAACCCATTTTAATGCCCTTCCTACATCAGTTATGGAAGGGAAATAAATTCAAGAAAATCCATAGGTGGACAGATTATCCCCATGCTTTGCTGGTACCATTGAACTGACAATTCACGCGTTCCTTGATTGTCAGTTCATCTCAACCTTGCATTTCCCCATTAACAAATTATCTTGGGTGCTTATATTTACTTAAGAAGCAAAGCATCTATCTGTCCAAATGTGGCAGTTTTGTTCTACGGTGTGCAAATTGCAGTAGGCGAGGAGCTAAAACATCTGAGCAAGCGCTTTCCCAGGATGTAGGACTAACTCTGACATTTTACTACATTTTCTGTTATACTACATGCATTTTTATTTTTTATGATGGTCTATGACCATCATAAGTAATAATAACTAATTTTTCTCTGCAGCATTAAAATATTTGTCCACTGATAAAATACATTCCATTCGGGGAATCTATTAGAATGTTAAAATGGGTGGGTAAGATATTTATTGATACATCTGTGGATAATTTACAGTAGGTCAGCGAGGATTTAGTTGCTCAAGGATAACAAGTTACCATCCTTCCCATTTATTTTTTAAAAATAAACATATGACATAACTCAAGTGGATTTTTGACTATAATGAAAACAACCCTTTCCTCACTTCTGGAGCTCAGGATAAATGAGCTCAGTATGCATTGTTTTTAAGTCTATGCCATTGTTTTTCAACCCTGGCAACTTTAAGAGGTATGGGCTTCATTTCCCAGAATTCTCCAGC